GAGAGCGGAGCATACGCAGCGAGAGTAACTCGCAGTGATGACAATCAGCTCCTCAAAAGCTGACCGTGCATGCTCCGCTCCTAAACAAACAACACACAGATCGTGTGTATCCCCCGCTGCCAGATAGCGTGGGCAGGGAGGCACACAACGTCTGTAATGCCGTTTGCTCGCCATAGATATTAGTTTAGACTTTGACATATTCTTTTGAATGCTTGTGGACTGACAGACAACAGTAAATAGACTGACACATACACAGAGTGCTACTGAAGAGCAGAAGCTAACTTGCGCTCTGCCGGATGCGCTTTTATACTTCCTGGTGCTCATGTCGCCCCGCTCGTGACGTCTCGCTGCTCCATTGGACTGATTTTACACGTGCTTCAGAACGCGGTCACGCAGGGTGTTCCCTAAGCGATTCTCGACACAGCTCGAGTTCCTGAAGGGGAACCACAACAACTTCCTTGTGTGTTTGCACACACTTGGCGAATAAAGCCAATTCCAATTTTGATTCTGAAAATGAAATGTGAAAACACCCCACTCATGATCACATGGTCGTAAACGACAATGATACTTCCTTCAAGTGACCAGTGCATGTACTGTACACATCACTAATGGTGTTTCGAGGTTGTTGCTGTATTATGGGATTTTCATTTGAAGAAGAGTTTTACCTCAGAGCATACTTCAGTTGGAGCTCCTCCACATCCGCTGGTGCTGTCGTGCTGCTGCAGTGCTGGCTTAACACTGCTGTTCTGCTGGCTCAGGCTGGCACCGGCTCCTGAATGCGGGACGGTGGGTAAAGAGGCTGGGCTGGAGTGCTGAGGAGCCTGGTTTGGGTCCACGGGCACCGCAGAGCCGAATGTGTCGAGGACGGGTCTGAAGGGCGAGAGCTGCGGTACTGCGGGAGGCTGAGGCGCATTATGGCTGACGCTGGAGCTCGGGGCAGGAGCTGGAGTCATGTGTGTCATCATCGGAGAAACACGGACGTGATCGGAGCTACTGGACGAGTTCTGGTCCACGTGAACAGTTTGGAAATGGCTGGTCAAGACTCCCTAAAAATTAAAGATTTTTTTTTTTTAAATAAATGAATAGGTAAGACTCATTCAATTTCAATTCAATTTCAAATCTATAGTTAAAGAAATTGGAAATTACGACCTTTGGATAAACATTCATAAAATTTGAATTTGAATATTAATACTGAATTATAGGGATGTCCCGAGCCGATCTCAAGGATCGGGCCGATCAAGCATTTTTTTTACTTATTGTATCAGCTCTCCTAAGCCCGATCCTTATTTTACATTGGCTGTCATGCCAGGGTTATGCAGTAGGTGGCGGTGTGCGCCTTTAGGTGGGTTTGCCAACCGTTTTGGATTTGACTGATAGACTGGCATTCTGACACTTCATGCTTTCTAACCTTATGTTGTAATTATTCTGCTTATTGTACATATAAAATACAAGAAGTTTATATCATCAGTCCCATATTCATAATTGTAACAACACAATCTGTTTACAATGCTTAAAATTGTGACATGTTTACATCTACCAAAGTCTCTATATAGTGTGTGCATAGAGAGGGAGTGTATCTTATTATATTATATTACATTATATTATATTACATATACATACATATATTAATTTTACTGTCTGAGCAACTCTGTATAAATTGGATTGATATTAATAACTTTAATGTACTTGAATTGTGCACCAAACACTAGGAATTTACAAGTATCGGATCAGGACTCAGTATCGGCAGATACTCAATATTCAATGACTCAGATCGGATCGGGGGCACAAAAAAACCTGATCAGGACATCCCTACCGAATTAGTATGGGGGTAAATATTTCCTCTGAAAACCATTGTGACTGTGATTCAAAAGTAAGCATTCAATGTGCCAATTTTTGTGCGAACTATCCCTTTAAGACACTGAAATACCCTACCTGGGTGGGTGGAGCTTTTATAGTGGGAGGGACTCTGACACACATAGAGGCGGGGTTTGGTGAGAGGTGGAGACTTTGGTGTGCTGTGGGTGTGGCCTGACTGTGGGAATGTTGGGAGAGAGTGGCCATGGAGTTTATGGCGGACTGCTGAGCAACAGAATAGGCCTGCTGGTACTGGTGAATTGTGGGAAATGGAGGCGCGAACACTGGAGCAGCAAAGGGTGGAGCGGGACATTGTGTGGGTATAGGAGAAATGGAGGACAGGTGGGGGTACAGGGTTAGCGCAGAGATCTCCATCTGCGAACATGACACTAGCGAGATGTTGGGGTGTGTCGGGACAGGCAGACTGAGGGATGACTGCACAGAGGGAAAGCAGGCGGGGTACGGGTCACATCCAGGAAGAGGGGTCCCGACTGACTGAGCTGAGTTAATGGAAGGAAACTGGAGGAGGAGACAAAAGTGCATTGTAGCATGGGAAGAATAACCACCATCATGAACAGAAGAGCTAAACGCATGCTAAATTTGGCCAGTCAAAAGTGGCCACCTTGTACATTGGACTGTTTACACAAAACTACACAAATCACCAGGGATGCACGATATTAGATTTTTGTCGATATCCGATATGCCGATATTTTTCAAATCATTTTGGCCAATAGCCGATGCCGATATATGTTTTGATGATATTTATTTTGAAACAACACCAAGTCTCTCCAGTGCGGAGATTATGAACAAATTATTTTACTTTTGAGCAAAAAAACGTCTTCGTTAGAAGTAATAAACATTATTTTTTAATGAGAGTACATTGAAAGCTTGAAAATAATTAATAAAATTAGTCTTTTCTCAGACAGATGCAGTTGAAACCTGATTTTATTTGTGGATTTATTTATTTGTTAATAAAGATTTTATTTGTGGATTTAAACTTAATAGATTGTCTAAAGCAAAAGAGCTGTAAAAAATCAAAAAATCTTTTAGAGCACCTTTTATTTAAGTTTTCATAATCCATTTGAATAAAAATATATTTGTGTATTTTATTTTCATTTTATTACAAATAGGCCAACAGTGCCTCCTAAGTAAATAAAACGCCTTACCAGACGGGCATTAGGACCTGGGGGAGGCTGTCGCTGCTGCTACTGCACATGCTAGTAACTGCTGACTCTCTCACACATGGACACGTCCTTCTGTACGTGCATTCTCAGATTAAATGCAGTCATCCAAAACAGTGAATCTAATCATCATTCAGGCAAAAATTTGCTTCAAGACTGACCTCACTACTGACATGCTCTTATCACTATCACACCCTGAGCACATGTGAGCTATTTGTCTTATCGGCAAGGCATATCGGCATCATTTTTTTCAAATCGGCCGATGACGATATTTACATTTTTAGCCTTTATCAGCCGATTTCGATAACGTTCTGATAATATTGTGCATCCCTACAAATCACGCATCTGAGAAGCAGAAGAGCTGGCAGAAGGGAGTACCTGTGTGAGGTAAGCTGGAGGAGGAGGAGGAACAGGTTGTGTCAGCAGACTGGAGGTAGACTGTCCTCCTTGCTGCCAGTTGTCCATCAGCTGTGTCTGAATGGAGAGCTAATAGGATAGAAAGAGAGAAATACAAGTGTGCAAAGAGAAAACAAGATGACTCAAGAAAACTCAGAGGAGGTTTGCAGATGTAGGTCACTCTTGTCTGGTCAGTCAGTCTACAGTAGGGGTGTCCAGTTCTGCTCCTGGAGATTTACCTTCCTGCAAAGTTCAGCTCAAACGTTGAAAAAATACATTTGAAGCAGCTCATTAAGATCTTCAGGAAAACTTAATTACAGATGTCTGTTGGGGCAGGATTGGAGCTGAATTCTGTAGATCTTCTGGAACAGGATTGGGCATCCCTATGGTCAGTTACATAAATTTAGATTAAGCTTACAAGTTAGTCAGTCGTCTTTTTTTTTTCTCTTTAAAGCCTTCTGTAGACTGCACAATTGTAGCAATCCTACAAGATCATTGCAAATCACACTGTGCAACATGGATCTAATAAACTCGGGTACGACATGTCTGCAGACTGTACGATGATGACACCAATTGACACACAGGCTACGACGCAAGTTACTATTGAAGAATAAAAATGTCATCAGCATGCGCTAGTGGTAAACAAAAAGAGCATGACTAATCACACTTTGGCAATTGTAGTTTATACTGTATGTGTGCTGAAAAAAGTGGAAGCGGTGAAAGAGGAAGGGATAAGAGCTTGAGGTTAGCAGTTTTAGGTTTTAGCTCCATGTCGCGTTGATTTCATGTCGCATTTTTTATTGGCTGGTCAGCAAACGTGAGTCGTAGCAGCAAACACTGAGCAATGATCATGCTGAATTTCTGACACTGTCAGAAAATTATCGTAGGCTATCTTTGGTCACGAGACCGTGACAATGTCTGTCTATGAACCTCTCTCACTGTACGACACAGGACCACCGATTAGGAGCTGCGATCATAGAAATCACCACGATTGTTTCACGATGCCAATCTTTCGTCTGGACAGCCGAAAATCGTGCAGTGTATCCCGGGCTTTAAGGGGTCCTATTATGCATTTTTACATTTACATGACTTCTTTTAGTGTGTAATGTTGCTGTTTGTGCATGAAAAAGATCTGCAAAATTACAAAGCACAAAGTTCACTCTAATGGGAGTTATATTGCTAGGGGGGCCCACGTAAAAGTTGAAAAAATAAAAAGAAGATGACAAACAAGCATACCTGTGGGATAGGTGGTGCAGGGCCTGTCTGGCTCAGCTGCACAGGAGCAGTTTGCTGCATGTTTGAGAAGTCTCGGAGTTGTCCATCTGTTGTGGCATTCTCAGTGAGTTGCTGCAAATGTTGTAACACAGGTGTTTGTCGAGTCTGTGCAGATGCTGGTGGGATATGCTGCACGCTGGAGGCTCCGCTCTGAAAGCTCTGATCTGCAGGCAGCGCTGCTTCTGTTTTAGATGGGAGACTGTGTGCAGTTGCGACTGCAGTGAGCTGCACAGGTAGAAATGTCTGTGCATTTGCTAGCTCTGCCCCGGCAGGATGGTAACTCGGACCCGCGGCACTCTGTGGCACAGAGAATGGCTGATGCGACGCTGCAGTTTGGAGGGCGTGGGCCTGTGCGTTCAGCTCGGCAGTCTGACCTGTAGGTGCAAGCTGCTGTTGATCCATGGTTTGTGGTGCGATCGAGACACCCTGCAGAAGCGCCAGCGGCAGGGGAGTGGACAGATTCTGTCTGGCGGGCTGTGCGGGGGTCTCTGAGGAGACAGGAGGGAACGTCTGCATGTGTTGAGCTGCGGCAGGTGCAGCCTGGCTTTGGACTCTCAGAACAGAAGACTGCAGAAGAGGAAACAAACTAATGAGAACCAATACACTTCTATTACATAACACAAATTATAGGCCAGATTTACAGAACAGGGCAAATTCGCATTAGACCACAATCCCATAAAAGCACTGATGGGAATGGAAAGTTCTGCTGTTGATCTTCTGACAATGCACAAATGAGAGAACACAGCTCATCTACATAATGACCAACGCAATCTACTAAGGGCGGTGCAAACTAACGTAGGGTTGATAAGTAGGTGCAGGTAATCTACTAACAACACAGGCACAAAATAAGGCATGCTTTTTGGGGGTGTTAAATAATGGTGCAAATACCTCTAAACTGACTAGCGCAAACCTTACTACATGTTACATGTGGTGTCCCTCAGGGTTCAACTTTGGCACTGTTACTGTTTTTACTGTACGTGCTACATTTTGGTTCTATATTTAGGAGATATGGTGTGTCATATCCATAGACTGTATAAAAACATGGACGTAGTGTCCATGACGTCACCCGTAGGTTTCTGAAGAGCATTTTTGAAGCCCAAAGTGGGCGGAGCCGGCCATCGCCATCTTGGCAATGCATCACTCCTGGATGATTGAGAATGGGCAAAGAGGCGGGATGTCGGTGGAGCTGGTTGCTGAAACCACACCCACCTAGCTTAACGATGGTGACAGCAGTGGCAATCCTCCTGTCACTCAAGTGGACACACCCTTAATTATGCAGAACTTTAAGGCTTAATATAATTTAAATGGATGAGTTATAAAAAAAAATCACCCCCTCACAGTTGTCATGAAGGGCAAATTTAGCTATAGACCAAAACCACTTGTACAACTTGTAAAAGCACTGTACCAGGCTGTAAACATTTTTTTTCTGCTGTAAAATTGGGCATTTTAACATGGGGGGTCTATGGGACTGACTCCCTTTTGGAGCTCTAGTGGCCAGTCGATGAATTGCAGTTTAAGTCACTTCATTGTTGGTTTCAAGAGAGACCGGAAGGTTGTTAAACAATCTCGCTCCTCGATACCTTTCAGAGTTGATTACTGAACACAACCCAGTCAGATTACTCAGATCACAGACCAGTCATCTTCGGGTACCCAGATCTAGACTGCAATGCAGGGGTGTCAGAGCTTTTGCAGTAGTTGGACCCAACTTAAAAAATACCTTGCCATTATCAGAAAAGTGACTACAGTGTCTGAGTTTAAAAGTCTTTTAAAACCTATTTGTATTCTTGTTCTTTCAATGTCCTGTGAATGTCTATTTTAATGTGGGTGATGGATTAACGCAATTATGTACAGAACTTTGCTCAACCGCTTTATAAACAAATTAAACTTGAAACTTACTAAATCACCTTGCATGAATACTCTGTTCCCTTTGTGTCTGAAAGGGAAACACCTACAAATGCATATGCAATAAGGTCAGCCACAAAAATAACTTTGTCCACGCCTTTTCATTACAAATTTTTCACCACAGGTCTTTAGTAGTTTTTTAAAGCTAAAATTGTTGGTAAATATGGCCCATTCTTTAATATGTTGGATTGTTAAATAAAACAGCACACGTCAACAAATGCTACAATGAGTAATAGCAGGCATGCAGATCACACACAACCAGGTTAAGTGAATGAAAACATAAATGATTCATAAAGAAGGTTAGCAGCATGACATCAGGCATATCGTAAGCGTGGTTAATGGGTAGGTTTCGGGGAGTTGGGATCTCCTCTGTAAGAGAACGGCCACACCTGCAGGATAGGTAAGTACGGTTACAGCCGCCGAGAGGAAGTGCAAAGGAGAAGAATGCATCTGAGCATATTAGACTGCTTAGAAGTCCTACAGGCACCTGGGAGCAACAGCAGAACCACTGCAAAGGCTGGAGAAAACCAGAGCTTTCCTCTAAAGTAGCAAGGCGACACCGTGTCCTCCACCTACCGCATCAGCCAGAGAGCGCTCGCCAGAACAAAAACTGGCTCTGCGACGGGAGGTCAGTCCATCACGAGGCGGCTCCAGGGTGTGCCCCTCATCGCTGTGGCTGCGGGCAGGCCGGTACTGCCCTCTCTCGGGCTGATGTCTGTGGCCCATGATGCTCTCCAGAGATTTGTTAAGCTGGGAGAGGTCAGAGGTCTCACTGAAGGAGCCTCTGCGGACATCAGGGACGTGAGGAATTGGAAATAAAGAATAGGGCAAATGTCTTCTATCTGCACATGTCCCAAGCAGAAATAAGGATAAGCAGACCTGACACGGGGACGGTGGCTGGTGAGGGGTGGGGTTTAAAGAAAGCCGACGCCCCTGCCTTGCCATTGAGATAGACTCCTCCCCCTTTGTCTCAGAGGACGGCCCCACTGATGTGTCGCTATAGCGGCGAGTCGTTACAGGCGAAGGAGCGAGCAGCAAATTTCCAGAGCGAGAACTTCCCAATCCATCTTCTGTCATCTCTGATTGGTCTCGTGGTATTTGAAAGGAGGCAGGACTTGTGGGTCGGAGCAGGAAACGGATTAACTCATTTACAGAAGAGCTTTCATGATGTGCACCCTGGAAGAAAAGCCACTTCTCTGAACTATTATCATTAAATGACAAACAAGGGTCTCTAGCACAGAGCTTATAACACACAACAAATAAAGGACACAACAAACTAGATGCGTACATTTCTTGAGGAATACTGAGTGAGGTTTGAATGTGCTAAATTGCTTTGTGTGTGTACAGTGCAGTATATAATCATTATAAAAATATCTAAGACTGTTTAGGATTTTAATTGCCATGGCTTTTCCAGGTGTAGAAATCTCACTTTAAAACTCCCTCATATATCCAGGTTTTCAAAGACCATGAAAATCATCCTTCATAAATAAAAATGACAGCTGTTCAAAAGTACTCAACACCAAGTCTCAATGATATTTAGTTCTGTAGATATATTTTTTTTTTGTAATTTTATCATCTAGGTGAAAATTTCACATCTGATAGCTTGTAACAGTAAAGGCACATCTCTCCTCAACAACCTGCATTAAGGGTGGGCAATATATAATACCGGTAGACACGATTAAACAGTAGAAATTTGTCAACAGGTAGAGATTTTGTACCATCGAAGTTACATGCTCATGTGACGTTGCTGTGCAATGTGGTCATGAAAACTTATCGTTTGCATGCATTTATAAGCATTACGATTTAAAAACAATTGACTTTAAGCTGCTGAAAGAGAACTCATTTCACTATATGTGCGCTCTGTCTGAGAGACTGTTTCTGAACGCTGTCAGAGAGACACGCGCACTTGAAGATGCTTCTCATAGAGCACGGGAGTATTGAACATTACTAAAATAACAGTTACTTTTGCCGCTTTATAGGCCATGAACAGTTAAACACACACACTTGTATGTGTCAAAATGCTCGTCTTTGCAAGTATCCTCGTAAACACAGCAATTTAGGTCTTAAGTGAAAGCAAACAGCCGAGAAAGAAAACACGTGTGTAAGAGTATATTGGATCCGGGCAACTCTTAATGTGACAGCAGTCTAATATTCCTGCTGTCTCTCATTCATGATAATCAAACAACAAAAGAGAGAAAATCTCTCACTGCTCTTGCCTACATCACTTTTTTAACTTTAATAAGGTAGTACATATAGGGGGTTCGTGGAAAAAAGCCCATTCAAAAAAATTGCCATTGGACCAATAGATGGATTGCAGGGTGAATTTGGATCCCCTTAGCCTGTTTTCTAAAGGGGGACTGGGACGTTTCTGCTTACCTCGCCCCCCGCACGCTCCGATTTGCTGACCCCGGAATAGGGGGGTTTTGGACACACGTAGGGGCGACACCGACCTGTTGAGCCCACCCCTCCGTCCATGGAGCCTTTGAAGGTCCGATTCCAATCATTTTGGGGGACAAAATGGGGTAGTCGATCCCAAAACCCTACTATTTGTCCATTCTCCCCTTGAAATGACTGTGCAGGGCTCTTACCCCAGAGCCTGTGCGTCCACAGTGTCGGTATTTGTCCATCTCTCTACCAGGGTACATGGGTTGGCCCCCTGGGCCAAGGGCCTCATCCCACGAACCCACTATTTGTCCATTTCGCCGCTAAAATGGAGGAACGGCCCCTCGACCCCTGCGGACCACCGCCCCCGGGCCCCTCCCCCCAGGTCCCACGAACCCACTATTTGTCCATTTCCCTGCTATCGTGCCGGAACGACTTTGACCTCGACCTTTCACCGCTTGCCCCCGCCCCCCGCGTCCCACTAACCCACTATTTCTCCGCTTACTCACTATTTTTACGGAACGCGTCCGAACGCGGCCCTAAGGCGGGGGGCAGGCGCCCCCGACCCGCGGACGCTCACCGGTGCCCTCCCTGGCTGTTTTACGCTCCGATCGGCGTGCCGGGGGCCCCCACGGACCCCCACATAAAATTTGGGGCCCCTAGGACATTTCCAACTAAATCCCACTTGCAATTTATTTGAATGGGTTCGGACTAGCGGTTTCGTGGACGCGGCTCCGAAAGGGCCGATCGACTGGAGGGCGTCATTTGCGTATCGTCAGGAGTCCCTATAGCGGGTGGAAAAGTTAGGTGACCCTGCGATCTCATTCGGGGGTCAGAAGGTCAGAAAAGAGACTGCAGTCCACGAAACAGTTACGCGCTTAAATGGGAAGCGGGACGTCCCCGTACGGGGACGACGGGTGGTAGGGCTCCGAGATTTGAGATTATGGCATCTCAGGGGCCCCTCTCTCGCGGCCCTGAAGTACGAAGCCGTAGGACCCAAAACAAGTTTTCCCTTCACTGTAGGGCGCCAGCGCCTTCAGGACGTCGCTCGGGCGGGACTTTCCCGGTCCTCTTTCTAGTCTATTTGCGTGTAAGTGTCCTCTTGCAATGTATGTGCAGGGTTTTCCATAGTGATGCAGTGGACACGAGAAGCAATAGGTCGCTGGACCTGGACCTTCAACTAGAGGGCGCCATTTGCGTATCATCAGGGGTCCCTTTAGCGGGCGGAAAAGTTCGGTGACCCTTCGACCTCATTCGGGGGTCAACAGGTCGAAAAAGGGACCGCGCGTCCACGAAACAGTTGTGAGCTTAAATGGGGAGAGGGACGTTCCCCGTTCATAGACCATAGGACGTAGGGCCCCGACATCCGAGATTCTCACATCTCAGGGGCCCCTCACTTACGGCCCCGAAGGCCCCTCGCTCACGGCCCCGAAGCACGAAACCGTACGACCTTCCGAACAAAAGCACTTCTCCTTAAGCATGAAAGCACTCGAAAGGCTCTGACTGTGTAAGAGACAAAGAGGGCTGAGGGAGAGATTCTGTGCAGAAGGCCTCAAACTTTTCCCTTGGCTCTAGGGCCCGGCGCCTTTGAGACGTCGCTCAGGGCCGCCCCAGGGGCCACCGTGCCGAGTTTTGGGCCCCTGGGACCTTTCTGAATAAATCCCACTTGCCACTTATTCGAATGGGTTTGGCCTAGCGGTTTCGTGGACGCGGCTCCGAAAGGACCGATCAGCTAGAGGGCGCCATTTGCGTATCGTCAGGGGTACCTCTAGCGGGCGCAAAAGTTTGGTGACCCTTCGACCTCGTTCGGGGGTCAACAGGTCTAAAAAGGGACCGCGCGTCCACGAAACAGTTACGCGCTTAAAAGGGAAGCAGGACGTCTCCCGTATGGAGACGGAAGGTCACCGGACCCCGAAACTCGGCACACACCGCCGTCTTGGGCCCCTCGTTCGGGCCCCCAAGTTTGAGGGCCCTAGTCACTTCCTAAGCCATTTAAGTCCGGCAGCGCGTCTCACTGTAATCGGGCCTGTTTCTGGGTCTCTCTCATTGACTTCAATGGCGGACAGAGAAACGGATGAAAAATCAGGAAAAATATTTTTTGGGGTCCCAGACCCGGGCCCTTTGGGTACATCTCTCCGGGGCTCCTGACGCAACTGCGTGTCCAATTTGGGCCTCCTGCGACCTTCCTAAATAAACCCCACTCTCCATTTATTTGAATGGGATTACCGTACAGGGTTCGTGGACACGACTCGGAAAGGTCCGATCGAGCCGAATTTGAAATCTTTGTCTCAAGGGGGCCCCCTCGAGCGGGCGAAATAGTTTGGTTACCCTACGACCTCCTTTAGGGGTCAAAAGGTCAGAAAAGGGGCCAGCGCATGTCTGTATTTTTCCTTGAATATTTTTGCTGATTTTTTTTAAAGGTCTTCCCGAACACTGAGGAATTTGGCCCTTTTCCACGTGGTACGTGAGGGTCCCACGGTCAAGCATTCGAAGCCCCTAGGCCCTGGCCCCAATATGACTGTTATTTTAAATCAAACATAAAGAAACATCCCATTTACAGTTTATTTAGCAGGCCTTTCATAGTGGTTCCGTGGACATTCATTTTTAGGCAAATATTACACTATTTTGGCACGAAAAGGTCATGAATGGATTCTGCTGAGTGTGGTGAGTACAGTAGAGGTGGTTTCATCAACAATATCACTCATACTTATGGAAAATAGATTTTATTTATGTGTGTTCTCGAAACTGCTGAATACATTGGAATTGGGATGTTTTAACTGCAACAACTAGGAGGGTTCCGATCATGCCGAATTCAAAATCTTTGTCTCAAGAGGACCCCCTCGAGCGGGCGGAAAAGTTGGTTACCCTACGACCTCCTTTAGGGGTCAAAA